TTCAGTCGAGTGGACTGGAATGCTGCGATGATTTCGCGGCAATTAGCATACCCCTAATCGTTTTCTTTTGGTAAAAGTGGATGGCAGCGTCGGTGGCAGTCAGGAAGTACTGCAGCACTCGTCCTTCTCCCGATAGATCCTAAAACAACGAGGTCATTCCAGTCTTCGTCGTCTTTACCGGCAATACTACCTGCCTAGACTACTAGCCGCTACGGCTGCTGTCAGGGCCCGAGAGATGAGACCCAAGGCAGAGCGGGACAAGTGAGTTCCGTTAGCGGTCGGCGAAAGTTCATCAACGAATCCCCTGACCTAAACCAGCAAGATAACGAGCTCGTGGCTCAATGGTTCGAGCGTTAGACTCTGATCAGAAAGGTCGCGAGTTCGAGCCTCGGGTGGCGCATCACTAAGAGCTGGGTATGACTGGTTGACGGCGGCTAACAAGCCAGAAGTGGCCATTGCAGTCTTCTTTGTGTTCACCGGCAATACTATCTACAACGAGGTCAGTCTATTCAGAAGGCGCGGGTCCCCGTTTGTGGACTTCTGCTGAAATAAGTCGGCACTCAGAACTTTTCCGTTGACCATCGCCTTCTACGTCTCTCGCGGAGAGGCTGACCAATCACGGTCAGCATTTAGTGTCACTCGGGACAACCTGTTGATGACTGCATCGAGGACTGTAGATGAGCGATTGAAGAGTGCTCTGCCCAGCGTTCCAGGTTCTGTGATTTCTCCGAGATTAGGCATGCGTCATTCAAACTGACCAACGACGCGTCTCCAGCGAAATTAGGACTACAAAGTCCTTCTGTTCACTGCGCTCTGCGTATTTTTGGATGTCTTCTGCTTTTCAAAAATAGGTAGCCAGTGTTGCACTTGGTTTCGGCCTCGAAAAAGCGGTCTTGTTGGTATCAATTTTCCTATTGACGCAAGTGCTGCGTAACTGAGTTCTCGCAGAAAATGGCTGAGGGATTATTAGGCGTTGAATTACACCGGATACTGACGGCATACTAGTCCGCTAACAGTGCTTTGGATGGCGATCTAGGATTTGCTGCGCATGAATGCTATTGTTTTTACAGAGACTCAGCCAGCCGTCAGCCCTGCCCAATATTAAAGTACGTAACTTATGCTGTGCTTTCTTCCCTTCAGGCCGTCACATGCAGCATGGACGTTGCAGCTTCCAACTGACCAAGCGGAGGTCAGCCTGGCGCTCCGCAGCGCACGTCGCTAATTTTGACAGG